TGGCAGGTTCCATAACGTGTGACAACATGCCCCGCTACGGGGAGGGGGGTGGGGGGTGATCAAGTCGCGTCGCGTCCGGTGTGGGACGCCTAGCGGACTATCAGCTCAGCACACTAACGTCTGTCAGCTCAGTGTTCAGTACGCAGCCCTGCGCCGAGGATATCGGAGAAACTCGCAGTCATTCGCGCTGCATTCAGCCTTTCTATCATCCGACTGACCGCTGCGTGACGGACGCACGCCATTCAAATCAACATCACCGAGGCTCGCGCGGTGGTTATTGATTACTGGGGCGGCGCTGCGTTTAATGGATTAAAATGTGAATCTATGAGTTACTTTGCAGCAAAGGTAAGAGCTGATCGTATAAATGCACGTCTTTGCGTACCTTTGCACTGAATAAGACGAGTAATAACAGCAGATCTATCGGTTTTTATTTTCAGATGTTTTATAATACGAGTCATTTATAAAGCAACTTTGATTTGTCTGACATAACCTGTATGTGCATTTGGTCAGTTGCTCTATCTCGTTGCAGCATCTCATAATGCACTAATCTGATCAAATAAAAGCAGTGTCATGTGAATATTGGTATATATATATATATATGACATGCACTGCTGCACAGAAACGATTCACAGAAACCTATTACACTGCATTCCTACTGCTGTTGCATTATGCATGGGGAGTACCTGAGAAAGAGGCTTTTTTTCATTGCCAGAAACCTCATACCAGACTAGATAGTGTAATTAAGTCAATCAGGAGCACCACTGCCTGACACTTTCAATTTAAAATCAACAGTCTCTTCAGAGGTAAAAAATTGAGCATCATTGCCACAGTAGCAGCAGCTCTTGCATGATGATCTGTGGTTGAACGCATCTCTGTCTGTCTCTCCTCAGGCTGATATCTGACTGACATCATTCACCAGGCAGCTCTTGAACAGGATTTTAAAGATGGACTTCTGGGTTTTGCCAGTATGTCGGATCAGCTTGATGTTGACACTGATGTCATCCACTGGTTGGGTATGATAAATGTCAGACATTGTTTTCGTGAAGTTAGTTATCGCTCACCTGAATGCAATCAACCAGATCAGATTCTCTACACTGTAACTTTCTTGGCTACTGGCTGCTGTAGTCATTTTTGCAGTATTGGCTCTACAATTACATTTTCGTATATAGTTCATATTTAAACAAATTGCACTGTGATATCATAATGAGCAGGCCGGGTTATTTCTGTGATGTTGCAGCATTGTTTAGCTGACAATATTTTGAAACTCATTTGCTAACATGCTATATTGCCACATAAACTGTAGTGCACATTGCAAGTTGTAATCAGACTTCAACCATTATGCTTTTTTGCATTTTTTTTATACTTGCTAATCATCATGATGGTGACATCACACGAGAGTTTATGGGTTTTTCACTATGGCCATTTGAGCCTTTTTCGAATTCCACAGTGCAGTGTGATCTGATCATTTGTAAAGTAATTTGTTGTCCTCTGACAAAAAATTATGTTGATTTTACAGTAAAAGTTAGAATTTTGTGTTTTATTGTAAGAAATCACTGTGAAAGAACTGGCAATAGAGTAGAGTGCATGACAATTTGAAGAAGTGCACAGAGAACAGCCTTCAGAATAACCTAGATATTTTCTTAAAATAGTACATGAAATGTATTACTTATGCTTTTGATATTTATTTTGTATAACTGGTGTGTAATTATAATTGTGCACCCATGCATTACAAATAACACCATCAAGTCATTTTTTATTCATATGACTTTTTAAAAATAGTAATTGTTTAAAAACAAAAATTGCCCCCTCAAAATATTTGGTAAACATCTAAAAACAATTTTTAATTTATATCTAATACATAATACATTTTGTATTTTGTTTTAGTCAGTTTTAGTGATTTAGAGCTAGTTTAGTGACCAATGCAGACTGATGAATCATTTCGTATTTGACCATTTTGAGGTTAATATTTAATCTTAAATGAATATTTAATTTAATTAAAATAATATTTAGTGAATTGACTAAATTTAGCAGTTGTATACATTTTTAGATTTTTTCTTTTAGACATTCAAAGTTTGGGGTTGGTGTGATTTTTAAAAATGTTTTTGAAAAAAGTTTCTTATGCACCAAAGCTGCATTTTGATCAAAAATACAGTAAAAATATTAATGTTGTAAAATATTGTGATTTATAACAGTTTTTAAAATACTTGTAAAATGAAATGTATTCCTTTGATGGTAAAGCTGAATTTTCAGCATCATTACGCCAGTCTTCAGAAATCATTTTAATATGATTTGCTGATTGAGAAATATTTCTTATTATTATCAATGTTGAAAATAGTTGTGCTGCTTAATATTTGTGTGAAAACTGTGATTTTCTGTCATTTAAATTAAAGTGCTTGTAATATATCAGCCATCAGCTGGGGGTGGCTTTGGATATCACATCTGCATCAGCCATTAAAACCTCATATAGGCTGACCAGTAGTTTTATTGTTTGTACGTTTTATTGAGTGAACACTGTTTTGCAAAGCAGATCAATTTGTTGCAGATCACACACACACACACACACACACACACACACACACAGCGCAACAGTCAAGCCCAAATCAGCTCTCTCCTCTAACCTCTCAAGTCGGCTCATAGTCATGCGCTCCATCACAGGTCCGGAGGGAACCGTTAAACGTTGCCTTCTTTTTTTGTAAGAAACAGGTTATATATAGAGGGCTGGTGTGGATGTTAATGGAAGAGCTGGCATGGATGTAGACGCCAGCCTAATCCTGTACAATAGGACCACTCGATAACAGCAATTTACACCACAGCGCTGCCACCTAAAGTGGCCAAATCTCTTTGTCCTGCATGTGAATAACACATGAATAACGACAGCTGAAACCCAAGTCCTGCCTTTGTGGGATTCCGAACGAAATGCCAGTGGAAAGACGGAGGAGAGAGCAGGTAGCAGGTAGTGGCATTAGTGCAGCAGTGCACTCTGGGATAGAGTTACAGCCGGCCACGTCGAGTGCCTTTTCCATGCACGCACCATTTGGCTAGTGTCATTCATTCCCTAGTTTGTATGCGAGCTGACGGACAGCAGCAGCGCTCTCTTTTATGCCGTTTTAAACCACGTCAGAATTTATAATTTCCATTTCGCTGACTGAAGCAGGTGACTGTGGCCATCCATCTAGGACAGAACAGGTTTCTGCTGGAGTCTAAATTGAAATTTGATGTGCATTTATCCAGAGTCTCCATTAAAGCTCTTTGCAGTAATCTTTCAGAATAATATTTGTTCTATGGGCTAAACACTTCGGCTTGATTTATGCGCACGTGGGAGCCGCCGCTGGGACTCTTTAAGAAGCTGTGAGTTTCAGCACTGAAAGCGAAGTGGAGTCTAACAGGTGTTTTCACTACTCTTTTCCCACATCTCCTATTTTCCTGCTTTTCCTATTAGAGAGCGGCTCTGCTCTTTCACCTCCCTCTGGCAGCGCGCTCCTCCTGCTAGACGCGCTTTCGCACACATACACATCTTTCTCATGAAAGGACTTTGCAGGGTCAGATTGTGTTAGATGTGGGATTCGGTGGGTAGACGTATTTAATTTTGCCTTTTGTTCAGCCTGATAAAATGATAAAATTCACAAGGTCTCGGCTAAATCGGAGTGTGAAGTTCTGTCAGTGTTTTATATCTGTGTCTAGTACTAGGCCAGAAACATATGTCTGTCTGTCTGTCTACTCTATCTGTCTGTCTGTCTGTCTGTCTGTCTATCTGTCTACTCTATCTGTCTGTCTGTCTGTCTGTCTACTCTATCTGTCTGTCTGTCTGTCTGTCTGTCTATCTGTCTGTCTGTCTGTCTGTCTGTCTAAAATGTCTAAAATGTGTTGAGTACAGCATGGTTTTGGTCTTAGCTAAACTGCAGTGCTTTCAGCCCTCGTATTCTTCAATAGTTTGCTGCACTTTGGCAGCAGGTTCTTATTAAGCTCTTAAATTCACTTGTTTGGATAATCCAGCACCTAACACTTCATCTCAGCGGAGCAACCTTTATTCTGCAGGGACAGAAAGCATGCACTTCTTCTCCCAGAGAAATGTAACATTTAAGAAGAAGCTCTGAGGTTAAATGAGTACATAGTCAACAATTACGGGCCAGAGTAGATTTTGAAATAGCAATTCTTGCTTGGCTTATAGCGTAGATTATGACAAGCAGATGTTGCACTAACCTTGTGCCTGATTGCTTTTTATTGCATTGTGTTTTCAAGGGTATTGATATTCTCAAGTTTTCAATTGAAGCCATTTGTGCCCTCTTTTTCAATGTCACCATCTCTTACATTTCGATTGCTTTCCATTTTTTATTTTTTTTATTCCCAATTTACAGATTCAGAAACATTATTGAAGGGTTGCATTGTAGGCGGACGAACAAATGAGCCTTTTGTTGTCTCTGCCTTTCATAGACGGGAAATGCATAACAATGCGCTCTTTCTATCACATTGTGAAGTTTTTAAATCATTTTTTGGGATAGTTTTCAGCACTTGTTATTGACAGAGACCGTAGGGAGACGACCGGAAATTATACAGCAGTGAGAGGAGGAATGAGAATGGGTTGAATTCATTCAAACCTTAGAGGTTGCATTTTCATTGCAAACAAATGAGGTGTTATGCCGCCTACCTTTTGGAACATCCTCCGTGTTGATGATGCCTTAAAATGCGCACTAGCTTGGAACAAAGCCAGGATGGTAAACAGTGTAAGAGACGTGTTCATCAACACACAAACCAACAGAACAACAGCTCAATCGCCCAGGTCATTTCTGGCTAGCGCTCAACAGATATTGTGTTTGCGTGTGTGGATATTTAAATGAGTGAGCATGCTGTGTTGGAGGAGAGTGTGAAGTTTTCCGTGGAGTTGTGTCAGGCAGCAGTATGAAAGCTTTGCTCACTCACTGCTGTTGTATCGTGGGTCCAAAGACACTACGGCTGCAGCTCCAGCTCCAGCCTGTTTGAACAGCTGACGCCTAAAGCAGAGACAAAAAACCTTGCTCCAGACAGCCTCATCGCTGAGAGCCGGGAATAAGTTGTGGATGTTTTAGTGTGTGTTTCAAGTGTGCACTTGTATGTCTGTATATTTGTTCTTTATGGATGAACAAGAAGGCTACAGGGCCCCCACAATATTTGCACACTTAAGCCATACTTAAAAATGTCTGAATGTTATTGCATTGCATAAAATCTAAAATTAAGTTGGATCGTTTTTTTGTAAGAAAGACAGCACAAGCATACTGTAACACAGTTCGTAGTTCGGGAAGAAGGAGGCGGGAACCGGCGAACATTTAAAGACTTTAATAAAATAAACAAACACAAAATGAAAGTAAAGCGGCAGCCCCTCACGGACGACTGCCGCACACAAAACACAAAATAAAATCCAGGCCTGGTCCTCTCTCGTCCAACACTGTCGTCACTCCTCCTTTTATCCTTCCGGAGCTCCTCCGTGGGACTCGAGACCGGTGAGTGGCGCAGGTGTCGTGCATTAGCATTTACTCCACCGGCCTCGCTCCGTTCCCACGGCTCTCGGCCCCGCCCCTCTCATCACACATACATTCCAAGCAAAACATTTTATAAATATATCTGAGGAAAACTGAATAAAATTACTAAAAATATCATCCATCAAAAATTTCCAAAACACAAGAAAATATAAAATAAAAAGTAAAGTTCTGAAAAATGCATTATTTGTTTGAACATGCCACTTGCTTTGATATTTTGCTTCAGACATTTTTCATGAATTGTTAAATAATTTTTAAATTAATTTTACATTTCATTTAAAAATTATGTATACACAAATACATTCATAATATCTATATATGTATATAAAATATATATAATATAAATTAGAAACAAAAATACATTACTAAATGTTATATATAAATGGTATATATATTTAATTGTATTTTTTTTTTATTTTACTTAATTTCAGTATATCTATTGCTTTATAGTTTTATTATCTTTTAAATTTATTATGAGTTTTGCAATATTAATTTTAGTGGTT